ATGCCGAATGCTACACTTACTATCGAAAAGGGCGTTGAGGTATCGTCTATTCCCAAACTTATATTGTCTTTCATTGGACATCATGTCCTTTTCTAAGAAAAAGTTATAAAATCCGAAATTAATCCCCCAGAAAATTTGTGGAGAATTCAGCACTGATCTGCCTTAGGTGAAAATATTAAGCGTGATCGCCAATAAAATGTAGATGAGATCACAATCTGCGGTTTCAGGTTCACATTTGGCCGAATGTTCGTATTCTTGTATTGGGAAACTTAATTGCCGACGGTACATTCTGGGAACCGATTAGATTCAAACCAATCAATATGACGGAATATGAAGAAATTCGTGGCCAAATACCGACGCGATATCGTAGGAGTACACCTGTGAAATCTTTGAGGCATAGGGGCTGGCGAAAGAATTGGATGCGATTCAGAAGAACATTACATGTGAAGAAACGTGCAGAACGGTAGGTGCTGAAACATTGCAGTAAAATCCAGTTGAATTCCTGATGGATGGCTCTCCACTCGGTTGTTCTGATCCAATTGGCCTGAGAATTCTTCTGCAAAGTGACTGTTAACATGAATTGTAGGTTATCGAAAGATGTTGTCTATCAACAGTTTCCATTGTTACATCGACAAGATCCATTCTTCCAACGATTTACGGTTCGTCTGAATGGTACGAATCCTCGTTGGGGTTTTCTGGAAATGTACAACGATACAACTGGAGAGTATGTTCCGTCATGCGATCAGGAATTTACTATTCGTAATGCACAGGTAGTCACTATCAAACATTCGGTCGAATGGTCACTTTGAGGAAGTACTCGTGATTGCTGAAGATTTCAAATGAATTTTTTGAGTATTAAAACTTTGAGTAATCGAACCGTGCGATTCATTTTTGCTTTTCCAGTACACGATTCATTCACAATCTTGCTCCTAATGCCATGAATATTTTGCTAAATTATTCTATGAAACGTTTGGGAATATTGAAAGCAACATCGAGCCTCCCTAACTTATTTTCCATCCGGTTTTATTTATTACCGTCTGATGCACTAAGCAAATTTTGTTTTACCACTAGAAATTTCTGGATGCTGTGATCTTCATTGTTTGTTGAGCACTTCAACGTAATTCAGGTGGTGTGTCGGGAACTTGGCTATTCAGCATTGAATGCGTACCACTGGCTGACACCTCGCTGGGAGTACAACCCGTTGGTGAACATCCTGAAGACATATGTGGAACCTCGTGAATGCTTCGGTACAGAGAAATCACTGGACCGTTGTACACTGCGAATGAACGGCAATATCAGTATGTGGCAATGTATGGATAATGAACACTTCAATTTCATTTATTGTGGATCTGCAAAAATTCTCGATAGGTTTGTGACTTCTCATGAATTATCCCGTTTAAACTTACACCTTCAAGTTGGCTGGATAAGGAAAGTCGAAGTATAATGAGCATGGTTTCACTTGGTTCATTCCACGAAAAATCCTCACCGCTTCCAAGATCACTCTGATAGATACACCAACAAGCAGTTGATAAGCGCCTAACATAGTATGAAACA